ATCAAAAAGAGAGAACTTCCATCGCTACCAAAAAGCCCCAACCGCTCGTCACCACCACCACTGCCATCACAACCACCACTGCAATTTCCAATCAACACAACTGAAATCAATGGGTCGTCACCAATCAACACAACCGAAATCGAAAAACCCAAAAAATCCCAAAATTGCAGATCGAAAAGAGAGAGAAGAACTCTACCTTTGCCCTACCAATTCGTCGCCGACGTCGAAGAGAGAGGAGGCAGAGATAGGCCAAACCACAGCAGCGTCGCGGAGAATGGGTCGCGACCCTGCGTTCATGGAAGTCGTCTGCCCACGCCGGCTCCGGTATCGGCGTCCAGAGAGGAGGAAGAGAGGGCGTGGATTGTTTGAAGACGGAAGAGAGGGCGTCGATTGGGAATAGGTGTTATTGTACCGAAACGACCCATTTCGCGTGTTTTGAGTTTTTGCTTGAAATTTGTTGAAAACGTGGAAAACGATGTTTTCATCATTTTGTGTTTTGTGTACAAATTTTTGGTCGTTTTGAAAAACGCGNTTGTGTACAAATTTTTGGTCGTTTTGAAAAACGCGTTTTCGAAAATAGGAAAGAGAACGTGTTTTTGTTGTTTTGAAAAACTAAAAATAGAAAACGACCCAAAACAGTCAAAGAGAACGGCCCCTTACTAGTTTGAAACAAGATCTCCATCACTGAGATGGACAGGAAAATAGATTGGAGCTCAGTTTACTGCGATTTCGGACTAAAGCTATGTATTACACTGTAGTAATGGATACTGATACGGTAGGACTTATATTGAAGCCTCTGAAGTCTGAAGCTTCTGGACTATTGCCACGTATTACTGTCCATCCAATAATAGAGGGATTGTTTCTCGAGAGGGTATTACTCACTCTCCTAGTGTGAGTTGAGATTGGTCAAAATGAGTACTTTAATCCTCAGTTAACAAAAGGTATCACTTATTGCCAACTTCTAGTCAGTAATTTCAAAGTCGTGACATTGTTGAATTATTCATCTCAACAAAAGTATTATATATAATCACACAAGTGCAGTTTGTTGATGAGAAGGTCCAGTGGATGCATATTGACATGGCTGTCCCTGTTCGGAATGATAAGAATAAAAGCGCAACTGGATTTGCTGTTGCTACGCTTGTTGAATGGGTGCTATCCCACTCTCCCTTTGCGTGTTTGACACCCATTTTAGTAGAGTTCAATCCGAATCGTCACGAGCTTTCCGAAATGGGGTTATGAGCCCAAAACGGACACCGTTGCAAAAGTTATGCCACTTTCTTTAAGCATGACAATCCAAGCGCTCCAAATATACAATTGTCTGTTCCTCCACATTAGCCTCATCAGATTTCTAGTTGGAGTTAATTCAATAAATAATTCAAAACGAAAAGCCATGATGCAAAGTTTGCAACCTTGGGGAAGTTTGAAAGAGAAATCTATTTAATGATTCATTCTTTCCTTTGAAGAAGACAAGAAATATATATAATCTTGGCAATTATTTTCATATTGTTGGATACAAAATAAGATATATGAGCAATATGAAAACAATGAATCACATAAGACACGATTTTTGTGGAAGAACAGGAGAATTTATTATATTAAGAAATTAAAATTATTTTGCAAGATTTACTACTTGTACTGTTGTACATGTACTTCTTTCTGCGAAGTTGAAATTATTGAAATGTTTGAACAAAGAAATTCCTTTCAAAGATACTTGCATAAATTTATTTACACTTTTCATGGTACGTAAACAAGGTGTTTTTACGCCTAGTGATGACTTGGCAAAAGAGGTATGCAGCCTCAGAGATCACCGGAGAGAAACTTAGGAGGATGCCCATGGAAGAAAGTTATTGGGAGTCCATGAAATCAAGAGTGGCTGATATGATGAATCTAGATCTGCACTCTATCACCACTCAGGCCACTGCATGAAACCCCATTTTTGGAACTTCTTTAATCGATCACTATGGAAACATTAGATCATCAAGATTACCACTCTCACCATAATGTGTTCACATTTATCCAAAGTGCAAACAAGCATAACAGGGCGCTGAATGGACTGTCCTTTTCCTTGTCAATATCCTATATATCTTGATCCTAGCGAGAACCCCCTCCGTCTTAGTTGGGTCACGCTAGTCCACAAAAAATGCCCTATGTATATCTAATATAAAAACTTACTAGTTTGAAACAAGATCTCCATCACTGAGATGGACAGGAAAATAGATTGGAGCTCAGTTTACTGCGATTTCGGACTAAAGCTATGTATTACACTGTAGAAATGGATACTGATACGGTAGGACTTATATTGAAGCCTCTGAAGTCTGAAGCTTCTGGACTATTGCCACGTGTTACTGTCCATCCAATAATAGAGGGATTGTTTCTCGAGAGGGTATAACTCACTCTCCTAGTGTGAGTTGAGATTGGTCAAAATGAGTACTTTAATCCTCAGTTACCAGAAGGTATCACTTATTGCTAATCACACAAGTGCAGTTTGTTGATGAGAAGGTCCAGTGGATGCATATTGACATGGCTGTCCCTGTTCGGAATGATAAGAATAAAAGCGCAACTGGATTTGCTGTTGCAACGCTTGTTGAATGGGTGCATCCCACTCTCCCTTTGCTTTAATTTCCATGCCTCCCATAAAATGCAATATTATATAACCTAAAATAGACTCCAGGATATCCTGGGGTGTGTGGAATGATATGAATAAGAACCCTGGGATTTTGCCAGGATTCGGTGACACTTGTCAATTTTTCAATGGCAGTTGGCCAATAAAATAAAATAAAAACTACCAATAAGGTGCTGCCTGGCAAAAAAATTCCTTAGAAATAACCATATGAATAAAGTTGGTTTTGAAAAAAATGAAGCTATTGCTTGTTCTTGGCTTCTTCAATATTCTTCTCTTACTTTTGAGTTGTCTTTCAACGTGATAATACAAACGGGAATTCTAACTTCTGTGCTGGTTGGAGTCTTGTTTTGGGATCCATTCCAGTGTAAATTTAGTACGGTATAACACAAAGCAAGAAACAAATTGGCCAATTTAAAGCCAAGATTCCAAGTGCCTTTCTAAGGTGATGAGCTAAAAAAACAAGCTACCAAAAATAATGATCAAATCAGGGACGGATCCAGAGTAATTTAAGAATCAAAATTGCACAAATTAAGATTACATAAATATGAATACTACAAAATCTCTTTACCATAAAAATCAAAGCACAAGCTAGATCAAAATTTTTCTTCAGCAATGCCTTGGACCTCTAATTCACTCAACAGAATAGATGAAGCCCGCATACTGTGTCTGAAGTTGATCAGTTTGTTGACACTTTTTTCTTGCTTTTGGTATCTTTCACCTTGGTAATTCCTTCCCTTGCCTCTTTCCTGTCATCTTTCTTCAGCTTCCCTCCTCCTCTATTTAATTGTGATTTCTTCATCTCCTCTTCCTCCTCATTCAAGTCCCTTAAATCCCTTGCCTTCACTGCCCTTTTCTTCTTCCTTTTATCAACTTCCTTTTCTTGATTAATTACACATTTTATGAGATTCATAACTTTGCAATCATGCATGTCATCAACTTTATCAAAATATACTAAAAATCTGATTTTACAAAATAAATAGAAAGTCAATTTTTAGGTAACTGAAATCATTTAATTCGAATTCATATCAGTTTCTTGGACTAGTTATTCAAGAACAGTAATCCTATACGATTTTGAATTCTAAATTATTATGTATTATAAATTAATATGTTACAATGGCTTTTTCACTAGTTAATTCAACAAAATGTATCGTAATTTGATACATTACTTGGGTAAATTTCATTCGAAAACTTGTGAATATGTATGCTATCGTGTTTTACTATGTAAGTTACATCTTTTATTATGAGAATAAGATAAATTTATGTATCTATCAGAACTATGTATTAAACAATGTGCCTCGTTTCCTTATATCTTGCTTGCGTAACTTTAATAAATGATACATGTTTTACAAATAATAGTTATAACATACCCAACGTACATCCATTATAAATTACATTATGTATGTTACAAAATTGCATAACGACTTATGCACATGGTGTAAAATTATATAATATACAGATGGTATAGACTTTGCTTGAGCTCCATTTTAATTAGATTTTGGAAAAGATGTATTCTAGTAAATTTTTTGAAAAAGTGTGATTAAGAAACAAGTTTTTGATTTACATATAATATTATTTTATTGAATAAGTGTGATTGAAAAGAAGAAATTAACATTTATTAAGATTAAAATGGAGTCCAAACAGGGGTATAATTTATTATAGGGTGGACATGGTCCGGTTCGATTATCAAACCTGAAATTTTTGGATATTTAGTAAATGGAACCATCGGGTTCGGTTCTATTCGATTCGATTCTGTTCCGAGATTCCGTACAATAATTAAATTTTTTTATGTTACAATAACGTTACATTAATTCGATTATAACATATTCAATTTTAATTTTTCAAAATAATGTAGTCCAATCTCGTGATATCTTTTGCATATCTCTTTGTTAAGTTCTTCACAGATTTGACTATTAAAATTACATGATAAGGAAGATGGCTAGTTCACAATAATAGAATGATAGAAATGATACTACAGTAGAATAAGAGATTTGGGTAAAATTTAAGTCAATTTGATTAAGTTGGGCTTGACTAGGGATGGCAAAAAAAAAAAAACTCATTTAACCCGATACCCGTGGGATCCCACCCCATAATGGGGCGGGGATTACCTGCCTAACCGGGTAAACGGGGTGGGAACGAGACGAGAGTTATTGCCTCGAAGCGGGTATCGGACGGGTACGGGAAACATAGTTCCCACCCAGCTACCCACCCAATTTAAAGTTAATTTCAAATTTAAGTTTTTTATCAAACAAAAATAATAAATTTGTCATCATTTTTTAAGAGAACATAAGTTGTTTTTATAAATTAGTAAAAAAATAGTAATATTTACTAACTAAAGACATAAAAAAGTTAATAATAATAATAATATGGCGATAAATGGGGCAGAAGACTTGCCCCTCCTCGCCCCGAACCAAACCTGTCCCGTCTCATTTTAACCAGGTATGAGGATGTGGTAATATAACAAAAAAATTCGACGGGACGGGGGATAAAAATGGCCAACCCGTCCCATACCCGCCTCGTTGCCATCCCTAGGCTTGATTGAAAATTAAGAATAATAAAATCATATTTTGAGTTTGAACTAAATTAATTAGTTAGCAATTTAATTAACAAAATAAAATAGTTTGACTAATTTAAGATTAAAAAAAAAAATTAGGCAGATTCGGTTCTTATTCGTTTCTTCAGTTCTTAGTCTAGAATCGAGAATCGAACCAAACATGTCAGTTCTCGATTCAGATACTTGTTTGAGTATTTAACTTAAGAAAAACTGCTCGGTTCGAGAGTTTTGTCTAGTCCTAATTTATTATTAGTTGCGGTACGGCGACAATCAACATTCTCATCCCAAAAGAATGTAAGTGCACTATATTCAAAATTGAGATTGATAGGGAGAGCTGGAATGTTGTAACAATACGATATAGTGGAAACAGTCATTAGATTGCACGAAACATGCTATTAGATGGATGTATGTATTGAATATGGTCGCGTGATATGGATTAACCACGAGATAAGGTGATTAATGAATTACCTGTATTTGATCATTTTAATTATGATCCACAATGAATTGTTGTCTAAGCATTTTAGTTAGCAAAGTTGTTCTTTCTATATAAGACATTAAAAAAAAAAAAAGGTAGCGAAGGAAACATGAGAATTAAGGTATAAATTTCATGTAACACATGAAAATCAGATCAAAAGTTACACAGCTGATGCATTGAGTTTTAGTTCAAAGAATCAGTTGTAAAGGTGGGAGCAATGAGTGTGGTATTTGGTGTTTGGGATCAAATCACAGGAAAGCAGATAGATTTTTTCTACGAGCCATCCATCAAATCCAACTAAGTAGGAGCAACGAGTATGGTCGCTTGGTGATGCTGAACGCCTACAATGGCTACACGGTACCAATTGTTTGTTAGTTGCAACTTTGTATCCAAGGAAGGATAATTGTTACATCAGTTTGTTGTATTTCAGGATGAGAGCATGGTTTGGTCATAGTCGCATACTTGGGCTCCCATAATAGTAGCGAAGGGTTAGGACGCGATAGCTATGGATGACACTAATTCTATATGTGTAGTCAACTAATATGAAGATTTTGGGTTTATGGATTTGAGGTTTGCTGCTAGAAGTGTAAGATGGAGCTCGAGATATCAGCTAATGAAGGGGTAAATGCCCGATGAACTTGTGTTATGCTAAATTGTCATTGCACGAAAGGCATCATCCATGAATTATATAGTATACCAGTGTTTTGTTGTCCTGATCGAGTATTGACATCAAGGTTACGAAACACTTATGGTGGTTCTATTTGTGATTTTTCAAATTGGAGGCAATAGGCTCCTCTCTACAGAGTGATGAAAATGCATTGGATATATGGGAGGCTCGACCTCCACCAACTATATGTGACTCGGTACTGTAGACAGATTCAGCACAATTGGTTGTAAGATTCTGAACACTGTAAAGAAAATCATCAACCATAATTATAGTATGAAATTAAATAATCTTAAATTTGTTTTTCAAGAGTTCACTTGAGAAGACGACTTGTGAAACGCAAAGCCATGGCAACATGTATTAAGCCTTCAATGAGCTTTTTCCTCTATTGATATGAAAATTTTCAAAAAAATGTCCAAACATGTAATATAAAGTATGTTAAAAACATTAATACGTGGTACACTTGAAAGGTACATCAATAAATCAAGCATAATCAGGCATTACTTTTTTAAGGAATGTGATGGGCTGTGAATCTTTGGGTGCTAGTTCGTCGAAAGCAACATAATTTTGCTCCTTGTCGTAAACATGGCAAATTGTTAATATAGTCTTCATCAAACGCCAGTTCCATGTAGCCTCGTTCATGTACTGTAGCAGCATTGTGAGCAAATAGAGAAAAATAGTTGAGTTTGGGACATCAACTTAATCGAGCATCTGATAATTGTAGATATGTTTGTAATACAAAGAGCACAAATGGATCCTACCTTTCCCCAGTTTCCTTGGAGAGATTTATGAGCTGCCCGCAAATTATAGCTTGGTATTCGGGATGAAATGTGATGGGGTATGTGAACATTGATGTCATGACAAAGAATCTCTATCCTGTGAAAGAAAAAAGAGATTTCCTTATTTACAAGCAAAAATTAATTGGTATCGTTCATTTTATCAGGCTACGGTACGAGATAATTTTTTTGCAACATGTTTTCATTGAACAAATCAAAAGGATCTCTTCTCATGGACTAGCACCACAGTCTATGGTTTCTTAACATCTCGAAATCCCCAATATATTACAACATCGCTACTTAAGGCTATGTGGCAGGTTGAGGTGAAGGAGGTTGAAATGTAAAAGCAAAAACTTGAAAGTAAGTAGAAAAGAACAGATATTCGAAGAATACTATAAAATTATAGTGTGCGAGTGTGAGCCCTCGTCCTGGAAACAGTTGAAAAGCTTATAAGAACCAAACGATAGGAGTGCAAATCTATTTATAATTGTTCGTTGCTACTATATATGGATTGTGATTACTAGTTTCATGAATCAGAAAACGTCAAATATTACCAATGTGGATAATCACAATGAACTGTGCCATTAAGCTGGGCCTGGGCAGCATTCCACTCATCCGAAGATTTAAAGGGTATGTGAGGAGCCGTATGATGGACCATTGTAAAAGTACTCATCTGTAAATAAACACCACAAAAATGTCTTAGTTGAATGTCAAAAGTCACCACATTAATGCCAATAATGGATAAAAATTCAACAGGGAGTCCGACTACTGGCTAGCAAAGAAAGATACTTCTAATATATATAAAAAAAAATGCCCATAGAATATAAATGAGGTCTGAAGATATCGAAAAAGACAAAAAAGGAAAAGGATTCAGATGGGAAGATATTCTCTGAATGAAGTCTGTTTTATTGTTCAATGGTGCCACAATGTGAAAGGAGCCGCTAATAATTGGACATGTATATTCAAAACTGACTCGGAGGTTAAGTATTGTTCCTTTTACTAATCAGAGTTGAACTGGGCCTGTCCACTATAAAGTGTGTGTATCTCTAAAGTCTTCCATAATGAAGGAAGAAATTGTAGACAAATTAAAGACACAATTCCGACGACCAAAAGCTTGTTGATGATCAAGGTCAGGTTCAACAATTTGCAGTGTCAGTCTTCAGGTTAGCTACTGCAATTTTCATCCTGTACCCAAGTTTAGTTCTGCCCCACCACGAGAATATCTTAATGGATCTGCCTGTGCTTGGTCATGCCTATTATGTTGTTTACTTGCCTAACATCTTTAATATTCTATCTAATAGACTCCCTACTTATTTAAGATTATCATCAAATTAAGTACTAGAAAAATGTTGAGCAGACTGTTTTGCAGGATAACAGGGAAGTATTAAAAAAATCATTACCCAAAAATGATAACCTAACCACGGCATCAACCAGAACTTGATCCATCCCATGATCCCAGTCTTGAGGATTATCAGTGGCCATCCAATTGAAATGAAAGCAAACACACAAGCCAAGCTTATCTTTACTCTGTTAACTTCATTCGGTCTGAACTTCTTCACATCAAAGTGCCACATCAACCTAATAGGATATTTCATGATGTCAGAACATTTGCAAGTCAACCAGTTATACTGAACTTCAGGGATTTGGAAAATCTAAATTAAAATAAATACGATTTGTTATTACCAGTGTGCTATAGACATCCATGGTCGGAATGGGCCATATCCATATATAATTGCCTTCCTCAAAATTGGAGAGGACTCAAATTCTTCTAGCCATACAGGGTGCCATGCCGTATCCTCTGACAACCTATAAATCAGGTGAATAAGAAGGTTAAATCTTGGAGAATAAGCAAAGGAATTGCAATGATATTTGCTACATTTAAAAGGTAGTATTCTAACAGCTCAATTTTTCGATAAGCATATAAAGTCACATACTAGGACAGCGGTTATGTATCAGGAACGAGAACACATACTGAACATACATGATATCAAAACGTAGTCAATTATGGATGTCAAAGTACCCATTATAACAAGATAAAACGGAAAAAAAACTGCTCATCCCTTCTACAATGACCAAGACGGATTGGAAAGAGAGAGAAATTACGCATAACCACAATGAATGGTATAAGAACAGCAAAATCACACATAATAATGTCATAAAAGAGCTTCATAAATAAAAAGAAAACAGTCAATGAGGTTGAACGGTAAAAACAAATCCCAAATATAGTAATGTAGTACTTCAATCTCTGGTATTGGACAAAAATTTGAATAATATGAAGGTGGAGAGAAGAACAGTACAAGTTATCTCGAGAGAGTTATGCACCTCATCTAAAAGCTAGACTTACTAGCAGAAGGGGGAACTTTTTGTTCATATTTTCAACCCCCAACCCCAACAAAAATAAAAAGCATCTGCTGGTGCAACTCTTCATTTTTTTCATTATTAAAGCATGGGCCAAGAATGGTCAGGTTGCCTTGAGATTTGAAGTTTGGACATTGGCTTGCTCCAATACTTGATCAAACACCACGTCATCGAAAAAGATAAAAGTGACAGAAAGGAATATAATTGAAAACATTATCTAAATAATAATGTCAGATTTAGTGCCAGCTCCATTTCATAGGCCACTGCCTACGATCAAAATTAATCAAAGTTTGATCTGAAGCATATTATCACAGTTTATGAAATTTCAGCAGCTTATCCAGCAAAAGAAGCAAACAAGAAGCCTCTATTAAAAAATGGTATAAAGCAAGATGTAAATAGAAAACAATGGCTACAACAAAAAATACACTGTCATCAACACCTGTAAGATGTGGTGTACAGAATTTACTAACTCATAAAATATAAATATGCTTAGGAACATCGCACATACATATTTGTTTTTGCGTGGTGCCGATCATGCTTAAAGCGCCAGGGCTCATACGGGTATATCAATGGAAGGAAGGCCAGAGTTCCAACGATGTCTTCCACCAATTTATTTCTCGAGAATGATTTGTGGGCACAATCATGTCCTATGACAAAGAACTTCACAATAGAGGGAAAATGGAAACAGAAACAGAAACGTTAACATGATATACATCTTAGGGAAATAAATTAAATGAAGTTATATCCTCATTTGATTACTCAGAAACTAGGAGGGAAAATGATAGCGATATATTTTTCTTCCATTCCAATATGGAAATTTTGGCAGCTGTAGGGAAGGGGGTACTACTGTGAGCCAACATTTCATTAATGGGTTCCATGCTTTTCCTTTCTGCTTATTTCCCCTCATAGTTTCCAAGGGCCAACCAGGCACAGGTAATATGATATAGAAGAAAGATAAATAGAGAACTAACCCCTGTGATTGCAGTTCCTGTCCAAGCCCAAGCTAGAGGAAGTAGATACCATGGTGCTTTGGCAATCATGAAGATCCCCAATGCATAAGAAGTCACGGATGTGAGTACAGACTTCCAAGCTTTTACATCATCTATCTCGAACACCTTTAGAAAATATCAATGCAAAAATCAGGAACATCACTAGCTTAATAGCTGCAATAAATAGCTTAAGATTTCTTTTATTCATTTATTCCCAGCCAAGGCTAAGTCGACTTAAGCCTGTTTCATAAGCAAAGGAAATGGTTCCCATCATTAGACTATCCTGAGGGTCTCAGAATGGGGTGAACAAACAAAAAATTATTTACAGTTTAAAGCCTTTTTAAATGACAAAAAGTATCATCGAGTTGCATTTCGTTGAGCCCGACTCAATGTTGTAGAAGTGTAAATGTTTTGTATCAGTTACTAGAGTTATACCCCCGCAGTTTGAAAAAGTACTTGCTGAAATGGTTTGGCAGGTAAAAGTACTAGATTGGAAAACCAAACAATCTAAGTTAGGTGGTTTACCAACTACTGTTATGCATTGTTAACAATCAGCAGTATTAATCAGGATTCAAATATATCTTCACAGTAACGTGACAACGGAATTTTCCTTATGTAACCATAGATAATGTAAAACTGGAATTTTCCTAAGATGGGATGGTTGTTCATCAATATTTCATGGATAAGAACTTCAAAAATAACATCTTTGAGTAAAACAAACACAAAAAATTTTCTTTAAAAGAATTAAATGGTCCAAACTAATCAGGAGCCTCAATGAATAATGGAAATTTTCATGGAAAGCCATGGTATGCCCTCTATTTTCATTTTTTACATTGCAACCACACATGTTTGTAGACATTGATGAAATCCTTTCTTCTTTTGCCTTTGGCAGTTAATTTCTCTCATTTTTCCTTTCTCCCTTATTTTATAACTTTTGCATTAATTTTGCTGTCATTCTAGGAACTAGCTCTACAAAATGAACTCAATAAAAATTATGTTTATTTATTCATATATTATTTTTCCAGTTGTGTATGCTTATTATTGGTCATCCATAAAGATACAAAGTAATCCATTTAGAAAAGCATTACTATCAGGTGCTGCACTTCAAAATGCACAAACTTAATATAAAAAACAGAATTTTTTATAAAGTCAATAAACTGCTTCTGCATAAAGGCTCTCTAAATACCCCTGTTTAAGCGTAAATATGCTACTTAAAAAGTGAAGCATTGTATGACAATAATTCTCATTTACTATATAAATTGTCTTTTTGTTTACAACAGAAATTAATGAAAATGATAAACAAATGACTATAATATCACTAGCTTTCTTGATAATATGCAGAGCAACAGAGGAGAATTTCCAACATAAATGAAAAATAAAACCACTACTACCACATCAGCAATTCCAACGAATGAAAATCTCCATGTACTAGTACTTGGTAGGAAATTCATAAGTTTCGCGTTTACTATTTATGAGAAATCTTATCTAGAATGCCCCATGTGAGCTGTCCTGGACAGAACAGGAAAAGGTTGTTGGTGCATAGAAATGCTAGGTAAAATTACCTTTCTTGGAAGCGTATCAACTATATCTTTCAAAGTGACATTATCTGGAAGAGGTTCTCCAATTTGCCTAAAACCATAGTTTTCACTCAATTTTTTCCTGTCCTCTGCATTATCTGCTGGAGATGATGGCACTGATATGGCCACGGCTTTTACGATTTTCTTCTTTCTCGAGTATACAAGACAATTTTTTTGTTCACTTCTTTTGTGGGGTCGATTTTCCAACTTCAAAAGATATCTCCCTGTTCATCAAAACTTATCATTCAAGATATGTCTAGATAATTGAAAGACCAAATGCATTGTTATTCTTCTTTAACAGTGGTGGAAACTATAGATTATGGCGCAATTCAAAAAAATGATAAATGGAAAATTACAATGAAAACCTTGACCACAATCTATGAGTTAAAGTACCAGCTCAATCATGAACTCTTAAAAGGTTTCCACAAATAATATATTAGCAGAAAATTAGTACCAACTAATAGTTAATGGTATATTTCAAACTGATGAATACAAGAATTATATCAGGAGATAATAAGAATCCTTAAACAAGTGAATTTATACATACTATAGGAAATTAAACTTGAGAATTATCTTCCGAAGTTTCACAGACCTTAAGAATTTTCTCTCAAACAGAAAAAGCAAACAATTTTTAGAAGTAAAATCGCGTCAAATTGAGTTGTAGAAAACTTATAGTCTTAAATTTGTATTCTGAAACATTGAATAGCACTTCAATTACTTTATTCTTTCCTCCTTGTCTCCCCTTTCGCAGTAAAAAATCAGACATTTACTAGAGCATAACCCTCGAGACCACTCTGTTCAAGAATGTCACTGAAACCAATTTGTTTGAGCAAACTCCATATGGTTCTCAAGGACTAATAGACAGCAGTTATACAGTAACATGCAAAATCTTGAGGTCCATTAACCCACATTAATAACCGAAATTGCCAGATAAAAGTTCAACTCAGTTTGTAAAATTGCACTAGAAAAGGAACTCATAAGTTAAATTCAATCGTCAAGTCAATATTTTGAACAGAAAAACGGTGAAAAGGAACGCATCTATTTTTCATGTGCTATACCTGGACAAGTAAAATTCTGGGGCGAAATTCTGTTTCCCTCGGCCGGCCTTTTCTGGGGTCCCTATAAGTTCATCAAAGAAGATTATACAAGTTAATTTAAACAAATACATTCGACAAACAAACAGCAACTGTGTGTAACAGATAAACAAAAGAGAAGTGTACCAAGAAAAGGAATGTGGAATGTGCAACTCTAGAAGCCATGGATTACAGAATCCAGTTCAAGAAACCCCGTTTTTTGCTTCTAAATTCCGAGGGTTAACCCCACCTCTGGATCACTGCTTTGAGGATAAAATTGCAGAGATGGGGGGCTAAATCTAAGGATGATGTCGTGAGATCATTTATATCATTTCTTGTGACCCCCACCCACTGCAACCTAACACGCAAACCACACAAAGACTTCTGTGGTGTGGTATAGAATTTACTTTGGGATACATTTCTGATTACAAATATTTAAATTATTTAAATATTTAAATTATTTTTATTTATGTATTTCGAGAAATTTATAAGTAGTATTCATCACTTATTTTTATTTTTATTTTAAATTATTGAAACTTTTTATAAACACTTTTCAGTCATATTTAGAGCCCCGATTAATATGTCATTTGAGAAGTCAAAATGAATTTTTGAGATTAAAGAGTTACGTTTGAACCCCGTTTAGTTAATTTTATGAAAATAATTCTTTTCGTTAAAAGGGTTTTTAGAAGAAGTTGTGCAATATGACTTCTGTTAAAGTACTTTAGAAATAGAAAATCCTTTGAAAAAGCAAAAATTATGTCAAATGGACCATTAGATCAAAATGAAATTTTGAAACCCCAAAAGTTATTTTTGAACTTGTTAGGTTAATTTTATGAAAATACTTCTGGTAATTAGAAGAGTTTTTAAAGAAAATTGGTCCAATTTGGCTTTCTCTAAAATCACATTTGGAATAGGAAATACTTTTAAAAATTAGTTATCAAACAAAAATTAAAGTAATTTCCTCCAAAAACTCTTCTACGTAAAGTAAAAATAAAAGCAAAAATCATGTCAAACAAATCCTTAAAATTAGATAAATTCAATCTTACATACGAGTTGAATTACAATATGTCCTTTCAATAAGATTAAATTCTTTCTCATAAAATCCTCCCTTTAAATTTATGTAACTACTAGGTATATAGTATATTCTAATAATTCCCTCTTGATGAACCTTGTTTGCAAGGGATTGCCGGATTAGATTGGTTGAAGACACTGTACAAAAGAATTTATACAGACTTACAATGAAAACTTCTTCTTCTTTTTTTTTTTTTTTTTGTGAAATCGAAACATTTTCATTGATAATGATCACCACGAACTGTCGAAAAAACGGGGAAGATACGTTAATCCAACTTTTAGATATATTTTGATTCAGAGAAACATTTAATAGATACGGTAAAATGTATTATAGAATAGTGATTTTTTGAAAAATGGGCGTTAAAAAGTAAGGGATATTTTTTAAAAAAATACGTGTATAATTATTTTATGTGAGAATATGTTGTTAAAAATGAATTCTGAAAGAATATATTCTTGGAAAAATGGGGATTCAAAACGATATGCTCATAATAAGTTAATCTTAAAAAATTCCTAAAAAGTTATTCGATCGAATATGTGAATAAATCGATAAGTAATTATTTATATATTAACATATTAATTATTTTATGTTAATTTCGGATCTAAATTCATATTCCACTTTCCGACTTATAGTCAAACGCATGGATGATAGGATAAAGTTTTCAACCCAACTTCCTGTTGACTTCCTAGGTACGTAGGTAGGTACAATGGATCATTGGCGGCTCAACGGATTCACACTCCCTCATAGTTGGACGGTGACGCGGACGTTACATGATTCAAAGCAATTTTCCCGTGGAAATAAAAAAAAATGTGGGTTGAAAACTTTAATGTTTACTGACCTAACATAATTTACAATGCATCACCGGCAAAAGAAAAAGGATTCTCATGCACTTTGAATGAAAAGTCTAGATTGCCTGATTCGGCCATGTGAATATTGAGAGAAATGTGTACACATATTTCTTCTATATTGAAAAAGAGAGTAACTTCACCCGAATAAGAGAATAAAGTAATAATACATTGATGGTCGGTAAAACTTTGTGACATGTTATAGCACGAGTCTTTATACATCTCTCTTTGGATAATTAAGAATGAATTAAGCAAAAGAATTTTATGCATGAATCTGGAAATTCTAGATAATAAACTTCGCAATATTCGAGCTAACTTCGAATATCGTCTTTATTGAAGTGGAAGAACTTGCCGATTGTTGAAGCAAGCCCGGAGCACACGCCAAAACCTTTATTGCTTTGTTGTAGAGTCGGAGGGAGACCACAAACAACCGCATGGAACACCTCATGCGAATACTGAACTTGGGGAAGTATTTATGAACTGTTTGAAGAGACTTTAAAAGAAAAAAAAAAAAACTGATTCTAAAATTGAGAAACTATTCTTGAATATGTTTGAATAATTTTCCAAGAAATATGTTATTTAATTAGAAGAACTTTTAGAAGAAGTTGACATAAGATAACTTACTCTGAAAGCTCTTCTACGAAAAACAAAAACGAAAATAGAGATCATGTCAAATAGGTCCTTACTTTCACACCATAGCATGCATTATCGTCTTTGAAATTTACAATGTTGCATGGTGTTGTACTACAACTACAAGGATGAACAAGTTGCACCCTAATTTTCTACCCAAAGAAATATCATACATGTTAAGCTTTCAAACATGGATTCAAAAATGGAGAAATTTGCAATGAGGAACAAAGATAGCTGTTCGAGATACGGCCTGTAATTGCAGTTGACTAACAATCAAATCTCAGAAAAGTTCCATCTACCTACAATAATTGTAGAGGAAGATGCTCCTTGTTAGTGCACAAGAGTAGTGATGCCACTTGAGTTGCTTGAGGCTATCAACTACCTCTTCTCTGGTTCCAGCAGGTGTGCGACAACTATTTTTCCCCCCTGAAATGATATTGAAACTATACGTGCCACAATTCAGATCATTTCAACTCAGGCTTCAAGTATACTGTCCTATATCTTCACAAGTACACACACCTCGAATGCGATAATGTTCTTTGTGAACAGGTCATTCGCCAGTCAACAAAACTAAGATTCGATTATTTAACATAAACTGAATCAAAGAAGCTCATTTGTACTACGCTGCTTCACATTTTTCATTCTCAAATTACGCAAAATGTATGTCAATGTTCACATCAACCACCATTTGATTGAAGGCTTGAGTACTTTTGGTTCCCATATCATCACCTCTCTATGCGTAATTGCTTGCACGTCTAATGAAATAAGAAGAAATCACTTACGCATCTCCATCAAGAAAGCTTCTTGAGAATTTCAAACTGATGGTTATCAAAACAAAACAAACAATAGCATCACATAATAACATTTCATAAATGATTTAGGAAATTTATATAATCAAAACTTGTAATGACATGGCATCCTAAGTAAAAAAGGAATAACATCTCACTTTCTTTTTATCTTCATTTCTTGTTGCTTCTAACAGATAGGTTGAATTGAATTTCACAAATAGTATATTACCTTTCCCAAATAGAAT